ATGAAAATCCTAGTTACCTGCTTCTAGACATACCCAGCGGCTAATAACAATCCCTATACCACTGTTCTAGATTTTAGAACCCCAGACTCATACAATCCTAGTTACCCTCTTCTAGTTCACACCCGCTCACACGTACCTGCTCTATAGAACACCCAGACAGCATAACAATCCCTAGTTACCCTGCTTCTAGATCTCTCCCTATAGCATCCTCAGCGTGTTAATGACTATGTTGATATGGGTCTTTGTGTTAACAAGGTGTAACTGTACATACCTAACACCAATACCCTACCTTGTTTCTTGATCTCCCCCTTCAGCAGTCTCCCCATAGCATCCTCAGTGACCACATCCAGAGGAAGCTCTCCTTCACTGTTCACCGCCCCCACACGTGCACCGTGCTCTATCAGGTACCTGCAACATAGACACACATATAATGGTTCCTACACACAACATCACATCGATATAAATGTATCGTATAGTGATATTACACAACATCACATCGATATAAATGTATCGTATAGTGATATTACACAACATCACATCGATATAAATGTATCGTATAGTGATATTACACAACATCACATCGACATAAATGTATCGTATAGTGCACTGGTTCTTCGTCCTGGTTCTGGGGACCCCAAGGGGTGCACATTGAGTTTTTGCCCTAGCACTACAAACCTGATTCCACCGATCAAAGATTTGATGAGGAGTTGAATCAGGTGCGTGGGGCTAAACGTGCATCCCTTAGCGTCCCCAGGACCAGGACGAAGAACCAGTGGTAATAGTGTTACAGTGTAATATTAAATAGACAGAGGACCCACTTGGTGATCTGTATGAACCCACAGGAGGCAGCAGCGTGGAGGGGAGTCCATCCCTCATTGTCCCCCCTGTTCACATCAGTCCCACTCTCCACCAGAAACTGGACCATCTCTGCATTCTCATCTATACACGCCTGGAGAGGACGGGAGACACATTACAAGGTGAGATGCCTCATCTATACACGCCTGGAGAGGACGGGAGACACATTACAAGGTGAGATGCCTCATCTATACACGCCTGGAGAGGACGGGAGACACATTACAAGGTGAGATGCGTGTGACCTTGATTATAAATCAAGTTTTAAAAAGCATACTGTGATGTTTTCGGTCTAATGAGACCATAAATCGGACTGAACAGAGGATACATGATCATACACTGAATCTTTAAACATCGATGAAAACATTTTTCCTCATCCTAGAGAGAGAGGGGGGGGGGGGGGGGGTACAGACTTGTTAGAGATAACATTTCAGTGGGTTTCAGTGGGTTAGTGCATGGTCCTAGCAAAACCAGGGGTTGTGGGTTCGTTAGTTACTACTGCCACTGTTGGAGCTAGGAACACAAGCGTTTCACTGCACCCGCAATAACATCTGCTAAATATGTGTATGTGACCAATAACATTTGATTAGATTTTTTCAATTCCCAGATGGGCGATTGAATACATACAGTCACTGTTGACATTTCTGTCCCGTCGCATAAAAGCATCTGCCAAATAACCATATTTCTTCTTCTGGACAACTTTGGACTACGTACGGCAATAAGAGGTGTTTATGTTTTATTTCCAACTCAATTCTGCCCACTTGATTAGTGGCTCCTGGATAACTAACTTTGGTTTGGTAGCTTATAAAAACCCAGACAGTTCTAAAACCTGGAGTGTCTGTCTGTAAAGGGCCTGTGGTTAGTAGGTAGACAAAACAGCATGTTTAGAAGGTACTAGGATAGGGTTGCAAGGTACTAGGTTAGGATTTGATTTGGGGTTGCAAGGTACTAGGTTAGGATTTGATTTGGGGTTGCAAGGTACTAGGTTAGGATTTGATTTGGGGTGGCAAGGTACTAGGTTAGGATTTGATTTGGGGTGGCAAGGTACTAGGTTAGGATTTGATTTGGGGTGGCAAGGTACTAGGTTAGGATTTGATTTGGGGTTGCAAGGTACTAGGTTAGGATTTGATTTGGGGTGGCAAGGTACTAGGTTAGGATTTGATTTGGGGTGGCAAGGTACTAGGTTAGGATTTGATTTGGGGTGGCAAGGTACTAGGTTAGGATTTGATTTGGGGTGGGCAAGGTACTAGGTTAGGATTTGATTTGGGGTGGCAAGGTACTAGGTTAGGATTTGATTTGGGGTTGCAAGGTACTAGGTTAGGATTTGATTTGGGGTGGCAAGGTACTAGGTTAGGATTTGATTTGGGGTTGCAAGGTACTAGGTTAGGATTTGATTTGGGGTGGCAAGGTACTAGGTTAGGATTTGATTTGGGGTTGCAAGGTACTAGGTTAGGATTTATTTGGGGTGGCAAGGTACTAGGTTAGGATTTGATTTGGGGTGGCAAGGTACTAGGTTAGGATTATTGCCTATTATTTGTTGGGGTGGCAAGGTACTAGGTTAGGATTTGATTTGGGGTGGCAAGGTACTAGGTTAGGATTTGATTTGGGGTTGCAAGGTACTAGGTTAGGGTTGCAAGAATCCAGGCACTTGTCATCTCCCGTCTGGATTACTGCAACTCGCTGTTGGCTGGGCTCCCTGCCTGTGCCATTAAACCCCTACAACTCATCCAGAATGCCGCAGCCCGTCTGGTGTTCAACCTTCCCAAGTTCTCTCACGTCACCCCGCTCCTCCGCACACTCCACTGGCTTCCAGTTGAAGCTCGCATCTGCTACAAGACCATGGTGCTTGCCTACGGAGCTGTGAGGGGAACGGCACCTCCGTACCTTCAGGCTCTGATCAGTCCCTACACCCAAACGAGGGCATTGCGTTCATCCACCTCTGGCCTGCTGGCCCCCCTACCTCTGCGGAAGCACAGTTCCCGCTCAGCCCAGTCAAAACTGTTCGCTGCTCTGGCACCCCAATGGTGGAACAAGCTCCCTCACGACGCCAGGACAGCGGAGTCACTCACCACCTTCCGGAGACACTTGAAACCCCACCTCTTTAAGGAATACCTGGGATAGGATAAAGTAATCCTTCTACCCCCCCTTACCCCACCCCAAGACTTTACATATTGTAAAGTGGTTATCCCACTGGCTATAAGGTGAATGCACCAATTTGTAAGTCGCTCTGGATAAGAGCGTCTGCTAAATGACGTAAATGTAAATTTCCCAAAACTCCCTGGTTGGTTTTCCAGAAATCCTGGTTAAATGTCTGGTTAATACCTGGGAGAAGGAGAGCTAGAGCTGGTATGATCGACACCGACCATACCGATCACTTACCGCAGGCATTTTGCTGATATCGTTCATTACGATAAGAAGCATATACTAGAGAAATGTGTTTTAAATGAAATCAGTTTGATAATATGGGTGATTGTTAATGGAACAATTGATGTCTACAACCATCCAACTAGTAGTAGTAGTTTAAAAGGATATTGTTTTAAACTATGGTGCACATTAATGTTAGAAACTTGATCATTATCGCATCAATTCAGGCAATTTATCACAATATGGATTTTAGTCCAGATCTCCCAGCTCTCAGGGGAGCTGTTAAAAAGACAGAAATAAAATGACCCATGAAGGTGCAGTCAAATTGGTCTGAGGGGATTATCCATTCCAGTCATTCTATTTATATGGCTGAAAAGACCTTAGATTTCCTTCCAAAAGGTTGATTTGATGGAAAATAGCTGAGAATAAATAGCATGTCTGACATGCCCTTGGTCCGTTTTTGATAAATGTGTTTGTAAGGGACAACTGCACCGGATTTAGCAACATACTCATTTCCATCTGCAAGAGAAATAGCATGTTCTAAGAGTGAGTCCCAAATGGCACCCTATTCCCTACATAGTGCACTACTCTTAACCAGAGTTCTATGGACCATAGTGCACTACTCTTAACCAGAGTTCTATGGACCATAGTGCACTACTCTTAACCAGAGCTCTATGGACCATAGTGCACTACTTTAGACCAGAGCTCTATGGACCATAGTGCACTACTTTAGACCAGAGCTCTATGGACCATAGTGCACTACTTTAGACCAGAGCTCTATGGACCATAGTGCACTACTTTAGACCAGAGCTCTATGGACCATAGTGCACTACTTTAGACCAGAGCTCTATGGACCATAGTGCACTACTTTAGACCAGAGCTCTATGGACCATAGTGCACTACTTAGACCAGAGCTCTATGGACCATAGTGCACTACTCTAGACCAGAGCTCTATGGACCCATAGTGCACTACTTTAGACCAGACTCTATGGACCATAGTGCACTAACTTTAGACCAGACCTCTATGGAACCATAGTGCACTACTTATAGACCAAGAGCTCTATGGACCATAGTCACTACTTTAGACCAGACCTCTATGGACCATAGTGCACTACTTTAGGACCAGAGCTCTATGGGACCATAGTGCCACTACTTTAGACCAGACATCTATGGACCATAGTGCACTACTTTAGACCAGAGCTCTATGGACCATAGGGCACTACTTTAGACCAGAGCTCTATGGACCATAGTGCACCTACTTTAGGACTCAGACTCTATGGACCATAGTGCACTACTCTTAACCAGAGCTTCTATGGACCCGGTCAAAAGTAGTGCACTGATATATGGAACAGGGTGCCATTTGGGAAACCCTATTGGACTGGTGTTGATGTTGAGGCCAGGCCACACTGCACTATGGGTAATAACAGCCCATGCCTTATCAGTGCTGTATAACATGAGACAGGGGTTTTAGCTGCTAGGCTGATCAGAAACACCTCCATGATAGTGACAACACCTTTATCTTATCAGTGATAGTAACTGCTATGACCTGATAGCGGTTCAATGTAGAAACGTCAGAGACCTGTGCTACAGAGATGTGACAGGCCTGTGTTACCCCAGTCTGGCCCTAGAGAGCTAGTAACTATACATTCACCACAACAGCAACACCTCAGGCAGACGTCACACTAACTCCAGACCAAGTCATTATTCTCTGTGTTCATATTCCACCTGAGAGAGGCGTCGTTCACCACCTGGTTAAAAGACAACCGCAGCATAAGACAGAGACGCACTTTAACCCGAAGCCAACTGACTCAGACCTCACACTAAACCACTGACTCACAGGACTCCACTAAACCACGACTCCAGACCTCACCTAAACCCACTGACTCCAGACCTCACACTAACCACGACTCCAGACCTCACTAACCACTGACTCCAGACCTCCAACACTAAACCACAGACTCCAGACTCACCTAAACCACTGACTCCAGAACCTCACACTAACCACTGATCCAGACCTCACACTAAAACCACCTGCTCCAGACCTCACACTAAACCACTGACTCCAGACCTCACACTAAACCACACTCCAACCACACTAAACCACGCTCCAGACCTCACACTAAACCACTGACTCCAGACCTCACACTAAACCACCTGACTCCAACCTCACACTAAACCACGACTCCAGACCTCACACTAAACCACTAAACCCACCGACTCCAGACCTCACACTAAACACTGACTCCAGACCTCACACTAAACACTAACCACCGACTCCAGACCTCACACTAAACCACTGACTCCAGACCTCACACTAAACCACTAAACCACCGACTCCAGACCTCACACTAAACCACTGACTCCAGACCTACACACCTAAAACCACGACTCCAGACCTCACACTAAACCACTGACTCCAGACCTCACACTAACCACTAAACCATGACTCCCAGACCTCACACTAAACCACTAAACCACTGACTCCAGACCTCACACTAAACCACTGACTCCAGACCTCACACTAAACCACCGACTCCAGACCCTCACCTAAACCACTGACTCCAGACCTCACACTAAACCACTACTCCAGACTCACGCTAACCATAACCACTGACTCCAGACCTCACCAAAACCACTCCAACCCTCCAGACCTCACGCTAAACCACCTAAACCACTGACTCCAGACCTCACACTAAACCACCTGACTCCAGACCTCCGCTAAACCACTAAACC